GTACTGTACTTTCACTTTCCAATAACTTAGGCTTGAAATGTAAAATTTGAATGAATGACCCCGCAATTTAAAAATCACATACTCAGGTATCAGAAAATACCAGTAGCTTGAATTTTCATTTTTGCAACAACTTAGCCATTTTGCCACAACATGCCTCATTTATGAAAGAAGCGTCAAGATGGGACAGGACAAAAATAGATGGCCGGGCAATGTGAGCCAAATTGCTTGGACAGAGGACACCCCGAGTAACAGGGTAATCTCTAGTTAAATAATAGTTAGTGGTACCATCAACTACATTGCTTTGCATCGTTTACATAACGTTAACTATTAACTAGTTCACCGGTAGAGCTTGCCTTGATACACACGATAAACCACAACCAATACTATATGAGTTAGCGTTTTGTAACTGGTAGTAGTAATTGGAATAGTCTGTCCAAATTGAAGCCCTAGATCATGCTCAAGTGTAGACATATATAAGAGGCAGTACTTTTAAAAGCTAAAGTTAAATCAATTCTGTGCCGGGACCGAATTGCAACCGCGTAGGCCTATAATACTAGATGATCTGGAAAATTACTTGCGCAGATTCGGGTATAGGGTACGTAATACTGAATCTTTCAAAGGATTTATTTCATTCTTTAATTTATGGTATTTTATGTTTTGTACTACTCTTAGCATCCTAATTTTCTCGCCTCATTCCTTGAAGGTGTACTTTTCTCTCACTCTACCTAGGAGATTTCACAGCAAATATGGATTTCTTCGCAAATTGTAATTGTAATACTTATAATTTAGAAAATCAGCTATAGTAAAAAACATGAAATAATGCAGCCATAAATATAAACATATTCGAAATGATAGCTGTACAATAGCCTATTCCATTTCTTATACAAAAAAAAAAAGAATGAATAAATTGTTCATAATTAGTCCCACAAGACTACTGTGTATTCAAGGGCTATGGGTAGGTCCAGACCCATCTACATTTTTCAAAAAAAAAAAAAAAAAAAAAAAAAAAAAAAAAAAAAAAAAAGAAATGGAGAGAAAAAAAAAGAAAATAGTATTTAAATATAAATCTGACAGTGTAATTTCCGCCCATCTAGAGGTTTCATAACCATAAAATTCAATGCAACAGCCCCAACAACGGTGTGGTTGAGGACCCTCTGTTCGTCTCAGACTATCCCCTGCTATTACAAATTACTGGATCCACCACATGGAGACCCTGAAATACATATATTCTCAGGTAAAAAGGGAACAATGCCGATCTTGAATGCATTTTCGAGCATTTAAGGAACACAATTTAGAGGGGTGGGGAGAATGAGGCAGGGGATTATCCCCATACACCTGGGTGGTATTTAAAAATAAAATTAAGGGCTGCAAATATGCCTAATTGTACTTGTCCTGAAATAGAACGGATGCCTATTAACTAACTGGAACATTATGGGTTCGTTGGGAAGCACATCGGTAACCCGAGAACTCCTGCACAGCAGAAAGACGTATGGACGCATTTTTAGCTGAAGTATTTTATCAATTATGCCTAATGGTGATATAAAATGAAACCAAACGTTGACGCAAATAGAAGGCAGTGAATTGTTAGACCAAGTAAAGTGCCGAAGGAATTGCACCAATTGAACAGGTAACCTTCTAAAAATAGATTGGATTTTTCTTTCGGCGTCACGTCAAAGGTTCTAAACCTCAATATCGGCGACCTATTTAACAAACACAATTTGTTTTTTTTTGGGTTTTTTTACATTATAATGTGCCTGTTGTGTAATACAGTATATATGCACACTATAGGGTATATAAATCAATCATTCAATCAATCAATCGATCTTATTTTCTATCAAACAAAAAATAAATAAAATAAGATGGGGACGTACAACTACGTGCAAAGCCTGACAGTCTAATATTGCCTTAACAAAAATATACATAATAATTTTTAGTATAAAAATATTATAACAAGACACATAAATAAATATATAAATATGATAAGACATAGGCCTACGTAAGACACGTTAAGCGAATGAATGTAACTCAAATACTGGCGCTTGAATCACCACATCCCCCTCCTAGCAAAGTGGTTATGACGTATGTAATGTACACGAAAGGTTCCAAGTTATTATAGTCCCAGTGGAAACGGAGTCTACTATTTTTTCTTTTACAGATGATCCCTCTTTCTGTTACGTTTTATTTAAACTAAGATGAAATTTTAGGAAAGAAAACGTCATTCCTGGTGATAGATTAAATGCTTTGAATTATTATTAAGCAAGCATTGAATAAAATGGAGTAGGCTCTCTTACATTTACATTGTATGCTACTTTAAATATGACATAAACAATTTCGAATAGTAGGCCTACTACACATAGAAGTTTTTGGTACCGTTATTTAAAAAAAAAATAGACTGAAGACTAAAATTATATTATATGACAACCAACCTGATCTGATCGTTTCAAGGATTTTCGGGTATTGTGTTGAACAGACGTAGAATACATTCAACCATCATCGCAAAGCACACACAATATATAATATTATTATATAAATACTGTGTTTGCCTTTTTGTTAGACTCGCATGAACGACTGTTGTCCATGACTCACCATGTACACAGTCTAAATCTGTAAACTTTAAGTGGTCGGGGAATTCTTCTGGCTGACTGCTGCTATTAATAGACCCGTGCAGTACGTACCGGTACATCAGCCAATACTCTATGTACAGGTCAGCCAAAATTTGGGTAGTGGTGGGTACCGTTGGTAAGAGTACGGGTTGACTTGTATTCATTATTACTCCAGTAACATTTAATAACATAGAAGACATGCTAAAAGTTAGAGACAGACGGACATCGCATACATCGTTAAGATTCCATAGGCTTGTCAAAAATATTTTGTCCAGGGCCAAAATCGGTCCACCCGCCGACCGATTTTGGTTTTATAATTACCTGCCAAATGCACATGTAAGCCGAAATCGCTTGCAGTGCTCAGCACATTTTCACATTACGTCGAAAAGAATAATTCATAGGTTTTGGGGACGTGCATATATTTATCTAGCCAATCAGAGACATATGCCCGGAATGGGAAAGCAAAAAGATGCAGGGCAGCGGTTTTATAGACCTATAATAGGCTTACTTTATTTGATTGACTTTATTTACAATTCCAATACATAACATTCAGTTACAAAGATCCTACACAATCTACCAAGGGCGGCGGAACTGTTTTGAAAATAGGTGTGGGTGGGGGGTACATTTCATAAGGTTCAGTATGCGAGCGAAGCGATCCATCCAGGCTGGGGGCCAGAGGTCCGCCAGGGGCGCCGGTGGGGGTCGAATCTCCCTGGAAGCTACAGATATTTTAGAAGTTTGTACCCTTTTAGGTGTCCACTCGCTAGTCATAAGGTTCGCTATTCATAAGGTACATTGTTCATATGTCTGCTAGTTATAAGGTTCACTATTCATAATTCTTTAAAAGTCCAATATTCATAAAGCTCATTATTTATAAGGTTCGCTAATTATAATAGAATAACAGGTTCGCAAGTCATAAGGTTCGCTAATTATAATAGAATACCAGGTTCGCTAGTCATAATAAAGGGTTCATTAGTCATAATCAAGAAAGAGTTCGTTATTTCTAATAGAAAAATAGGACCGTTAGTCATAAGGTTCGCTGGTCATAATAAAAAAAGAGGTTCGCTATTTATATTAAAAAAGAGGTTGGCTATTCATAATAAAAAAAAAAGGTTCGCTATTCATCATTAAGAAAAGAGGTTCGCCTGTCATAATAAAAAAAATGTCGCTAGTCATAATAGAAAAAGAGGTTTAAACGCTAGTCAAAATTAAAAAAAAGATCAAATATTCATAATTAAAAAGGAACCACACTGCAAATACAAATTTAATTAAATAATAGGAATTTAACAAAAGGAATTTTCTTTAAATATTGTAAGTTTTTAAAATGTAAATATTAAAAAAATAAAGTCTATATTTAAACAACACGTACAATATTTGAATAAATATATATATATGCCTATAGAGTAGAGTAGAGTGGAGTGCTCGATACCTGTCTCTTATACACATCTAGATGTGTATAAGAGACAGTCATGTAACTTAGCATTTTCTTGTGCAATAATAATAATAATAATAATAATAATAATAATAATAATAATAATAATAATAATAATAATAATAATGACATTGCATTCGTTGGTAAAATGTTAGTTACTGGTGCTGGGAACAGTCACAAAAGTGAGGGAGGGCCAGGCATCCCCCGGCCCCACGCTGCCGTTGCAATCTACAGGTAATAGGTAGGCCTATAATCGGTGATTCTGATCATGAATGGAAGAAAGAGACAATGTAAATGATTTAAAAGTGTATAGGCCTGTATCGTTTCCTCATAGGAACATCGGGGATTTAAATCAATAAAAATGTACAGTAAAATAATCTTGGCCATAAATATACTTATAATAAAATATACTTATAGTAAGTATATAATAATAGTATAATTTCATTCTCTGATCCATAGTTTATGAAACGTTTTACAAAAATACTTTCAATGTCACCAACAATGCTATGCATTTAAATGTATTAGATCCACCATAAAAATAGGTTATTAAAATAACCAAAGAGTATAAATAGAACAAGAGAGCAAAGTCCCGTTCGTAAAAACGTCATGCCTGTGTAGGACGCCAACTAACGGTTGTATATTCTTTTTATTACCCAGTGCAGCGCTGCGCAGCGCGGTAGAAGTACGCCCGCTATAAACTCAGTAAGCAGAAAACAAAAGCACAGTATCTTGTGGAGAACAGATAAACAGACAAACCTACAGTGCGCGGTGCAGTACTGGGTAATAAAACATATACAAGCGTTAGTTAGCGTCCTACACTAGCTGCGTAGAGCGTATCGTTTTTTTACGCTCCCAATGAGCGTTGTTGGCTCTCTTGTTCTATTTATACTCTTTGAAATAACAGACAATGTACTGAATACAGTGAGGTACGGTAAAATAATATCAACTCCAACTGCTTTTAACAATTAGTATAGTGTGGACTACTCATGAAATAAAAGTTGCATGGTCTTTTCTGATTGCTTTACGTTTACTAACCAAATGTTATGCTAATGCTATCAACTGAAGTCAAATACTTATCTTAGACTCTTACATAGGATGATGTATGCAAACTAGGCTTCTGGTTGGACTTATTGTAAGATAACCTTCATTTTCATTGTTGGTTTAAATTAAAGCTTTTCCAACCAAAAGCCTTTCTCTCCAATCTACGAGGACCGCTTATGAACCACTCACTGTAATATTATTTAGCGATATTTCTAACGACAGACTCGTCTACAAGTTCAAAATAAAACCCACCCAAAGGCCTTTCTCTCCAATCTACGAGGACCGCTTATAAACCACTCACTGTACTATTTGGTTAGCGATATTTCTAACGACAGACGCGTCTACAAGTTCAAAATAAAACCCTTGATATTATGCTTAATCTAGTCACACAGATGGGCGAAGTGCGACCCGATGGCAATATTTTGCGGCCCACGAATAGAAATTAAAAACCCTATGTTGTGCGGTCCGCAAGCAACACTGGCTAGAAAACACCTTGTTTTTCACAGTTCAACACCGACCATATGTAAAAAATAAAATTAAAACTCAGAATAATATGGTGTAAAAGCAGTGCTTGGAGGTTTTTGGAAGGTCACAAGAAAACACCAAATTTTTGGTGCTGCCCTCGGTGTTCAATAGAAAATTCCCTTTGGCTCTGCAACCGATTTTTATGCCAACCCATGCTCTAGTATGTAAAATCATAAACAATTATCGTGAGGAAACACAATTTTAAGTCTACAAGTACATTGTAAGTGCTACTTTTAAATAAGCGCCGCATTTATTGTAGAATCCAAAAACATCAGCAGCGCTATCAGAAGAAGCACGGCATGTTAGGAACCCCAAAATGTCAGGTGTAGAACATGGCACATTACATCTGGTTTCTTTTTTAATTTAAATTTTGTTTATCGATACCACTTTATTATAGTAAGTGGTGATTGAAAGAAACCAAAAATAAAATAGAAAAAAAAAAAATGTGTCTGACGTATCGGCTACAGTGTGTCGAGAGTGTAATGCCAAAGTTAGGTACCATGTATTAACGGATGGAATTATACACAAAACATTGTGCATTCTGACAACACTGGTGTCAATAATGCATCATAAACATAGTTTTATATTAATATGATTAATATACGCCAGATTGCATATTTTCCTATATAGAAACGTAATCAAGATATTTTTTCAATAATATTATTTATATTAATTACAAATAATATAAATATGAAATTCAAGAAATGAAACACACTTAAAATCTAAGAAACCCAGTTTCTCAAAGTGTTTTACTACTCGATTAAGCGCCACGGCGCTTATTCGAGAGCAGCGTTTGTTCGAGCATTTACGGTACACTAAATAAACAACTAAGCGTATGGCCCCACAATTGTATTTTTCGGAGTAACAATACTAATGATTGTATATTGGCCTAGTATGTACTTTTTTTTTTTTTTTTTTATCAAATATTGAATTATTATTATCACTATTTCAGTGTTATAAAAAATTGGTATGGCAAAACTCAATTAGTGATTGCTAATAAACGATTTGTGAAATATTATTGTTCTCCGTTATTTTGTTGATATGAACGTGACGTTTTCAGTACATCATGGTTTCGTAGCTAGTTCGATTCCATCAACGTCGAGGTTTCTGTCGTACAGCCAGTGATTTCTTCCGTATCTGAGGTATATAGTTTAATCATACTGGTGTTGGATTTTTTTTCTTATACATATGCTTGTACGAGAGTGAGCAATGTTCTTCTTCCGAGATTTTGTTAAGAATAGGCTTTCTATCTTTCTGCAGGTAAGTCCTTATTATTTTGTTTTCTGATAGTCGTGTTGTACTCGGCTACCTGATAATGATCTGATGTAAACTAAATTTAACTTCCTCCCGATTTCATATAATATTTTTTGTTTATTATTTGTAGTTGTATATGAGTATTCGTCTGTGCAAATGAATGGGGCGATGAATGGGACTGGTCGGTTTATGAACCCAGAAGGAATTCAGAATGGATGATTGAATTATCTCCCAGTGGCAATTGAAACGTGCCTGAAGGAAAACGTATATTTCTTGTTAGAAATCAAAGTAGTGTTCTACGTCGCCAACAAGGAAAGTATGCCATGTACGTCGATGATTGTGGTGTTTGGGCACAAGGTGCGTAGGCTAAGGTTCATGCGTATCATGAAAGGTACGTGAAAACATTTTACGTTGATGTTGTGAATGGACAACATTGCATCTAAAAGAACGGTATTGTGTCACTCAGCCAAGTGATGATGAAGTTTGGTATTTCGGTGTCACTGAAAGCAGATAAATCATTCATGAAAAGTATTTCAACTGTCATCATATGTCCCGAATCTTTACCCGCAAATATGAAAATCTTGGAATTGTAGAATATATGAGCCACCCTACTGAACCACAACCTTATGGCAATTGAAAGCATACGAACAAGGACTACATAGGAACCGCCACAGCCGTTACCGAGAAAGTGAAAACATTCCGGAAAGTTTAAATTGATCGACTAGGGCACCAAGAGACTTAAAACACAGACATTTCAACCTTGGTGCATGCTATATTACGACGACAGTCTATCACAACACAAACCTAATGCGAAAAGAATCGACGATGCACCCGGTCATGTTTGGACTGGACATATTCCTTCATTGGGATGGTCTCTTCACGATCTACCACCGATTTTTATCACACCTACAATATAAATTGTAGGACTCAATTGTAGGCTCGCAAATTAGTAGGATGAATCTTGTTTTTGGATCAGATGAAGAAAGTCCCGAACCAAGGCAATGAGAAGTGTTTTCCATTCATAGTTTTTTGCTAACATATCAAAGAATGCAAATCATTTCCTAATTAAGATTGATGTTCAAATCAGCGAACGAAGAAAATAATGGATACGATATTTGGCGCAAAAGGACGTCTAATGGCATGAAAGAGGAGTATGAATACCTAAAAAAACAACTTTGTCTTATATGAAAAATATGTAAAGGACACAATACATTTACAAATAATTTAAAAAATTTAACAGACAAATTGTCTGAAAATGTTACAAAATCTCGTAAGAAAAACAATTGAGTTCGGTTAGATTGGAAATATAATTCATGTGAAAGCTTAAATAATACCCTGACATTAGCATTTAATTGGAAAAGCCTAAAACTGCCTGACTTAAATAATAGAATTAATAATTTTATTAAACTTCAACTCTGTGATAATCGCAGAGCAATATAATGAAAGGGGAAATTTTAAACTTGCATATGGATGGAGAAGTTTGTTGTAAAGCATGTAAATTGGGTGAAGAAAAGTGAGGCTAAAAAGGAAAATATATAATCTTAAAGATAAAGATAATCATAGCGGTTAAAATATAAGATAAGGTATAATTTATTTTCATGTAATCAGATATAGTTATTATGCAATTTACAATGTGAAGTGTCTACGTCAGTAATCCTTTTTTCGAATGTTATCGCACTGATAAATATAAGATACCTTATAAAAATGTGCTTGTTTTCATAAAAATTAGCATACATTCTGCACAAAATTAAATTAGGTTTAATAATAAAATATTTAAAATCATTTCGTTCAATCAAATTTATCAATTATAGCACATTACAAAATTTAAATAATATTTGTTTAACTATTTATATGTTTCTGTTATTGCTTTTAGATGTAAAGCATATCATTTATTTACAATTTTTTCCCCTGTCATTATGATTTATGTTCTCCTATATATAACCTAAAATAAATTTGATGAGCAATTATATACCAGTAATTTTTTCCCCATTTTCTTTTAGCAATTAACTTTAGAAATTTAAGATTGGACTTTCCCACCATTAAAGTGCTGTAATCAGTTACAAAAAAAGTGCATAGGCATATACTGTTTTATTTGAATACTGTAAACGCCACTCTTTGAATAAATGGCCCCCTCAAGCAAACAAATCGATATATGTATCGATTTTACAAAAAAAATTAAATAAATAATGAACGCCTCCCTCGAATAAATGCCCAATTATTCGAATACGGTAGTTGTATTCTTATTTAAGATTACTAAAAATATTTTACATTATGCCAAACAGCAGAAAAAATATCATATGCAATATTGATAAGTCTTCTTTATAAACCAAATTATTCTTACTTGTGACATTTAAACATTTCATATACTTTTTAAACTAAATTATATTATTTGGGTAATATGTATTTAATAAATGTGAGCATCATTGTATTATTATTAAATCTGTTATTTTAGAATGTGACATCTGACAGGTTATTCCCGTATTTTTCCATGGTATTGAGTAAGGCTACTTGCTCGACTTTCCTTGGCTCCATCTGGAAGCAACTAGGTTGGTTATTCACTCCATTGTTCACGACGACTACCTTCGGATCTGAAATAGATTATGGCAACTAATTCAGCAGTGTCATTTTTTGCATCATAATATTTTTTTATGAACCCGCCAACTGCAAATATTGGGGATTGCGATTAAAAATAAAATGTTATTTTTGCCAATTAGCGCACCCGCTGCCACGAGAAAGCAGAAATTTAAGAGAAAAATAAAAGTTTTTCTTTATTTTTATTACACCCTCCGCTGCCTTGAAATCTCCAAAGATAAGATGTATATTTTTTCCTAATTATATAAATTTGAAGCATTAAACCATCCTATCCTAATACATTCACCAATAATATTTTCTCCTCCATCTGAATGTTTATGGCAAAACTATTTGCTGAATAAGAAAACAAAATTTTATTTTTATTTTTATCCTGCCCTTCTCCGATGACCTTTAAAAAACAAGGAATAAAAATGTCTCGCCTTAAATGTTCATTGTGTTATCCAATTTCAACTAATAATTAAAACAATGTCCTCATCACTGCTATCACCAACTGCACCTCCTGCTATTGTTCTCATCATTACTATTACCAACTGTCTCTCCTGCTATTGTTCTCATCACTATTATCACCAACTGCGTCTCCTGCTATTGTTTGCATCAATACTATCCAGTGGCGTAGAAAAGTATTTTTCATTGGGGTGGATGAAGAAAAGAAATAGGGGAGAGGGAGGAAAAGAGAAAGAAGAGGAAAAGAAAAAGAAAGGAAAAGAAAAAGAGAAGAGAAAAATAAAGACAAGAATAAAAAGGAAGATATCATAATGACCAGACTCACAACACCCTGCAACCCCATCTCCACTTCAAAAACTGTCATAATTCCTTTGATCATGCTGCCCGATGGTGTAACCACTGGGGACAAGGGGAAAATATCTATCTTTGGAAAATCTTCCCACCCCTTTATAAATGCCCTTTTCATCCCCTGAAAGTGCCTAAAAACCTCAAATTTCTTGTTAACATGAGCCAATTTCCTCTAAATATTGCACATTTTAGGGAGTTTTGATCAATTCCAATGAAATTACAATTTAAAAAACCGGGGGACAAGGGGAAAATTTTTCCCCACCCCTTGACAAATGCATCCTCTGAAAGTGCCTAAAATTCTCAAATTCTTTGCGCGCATTTCTTGTTACGGTAAGCCAATTTCCTCTATAAATTGCACATTTTAGGGAGTTTTCATCAATTCCGACAAAATTAGAATTAAAAACACAAGAATATTTTGTGCGCTTTGCGCACATTTTTTAGGGCTTTTTTAGGTTTATCCTTTTAAGTTATTTAAACACATAATAGTCCCTATGCTACTATCACCAACTAACTGTCTCTGCTGCTAGTGGTCTCATCACTACTTTCACAACTGCACCTGCTGCTATTGGTCCATGACTATCACCATCCAACGCCTTTGTTCTTTCACTTCATTATCTATTGCCTCTGCTGCCTTTGCTTCATAAATATTACCATCAAAATCACTCTCAGTTTTTTGTATTATTACCACCTCAAATAATAATAAGATTAGTTTTCAAAGTGAGTGTAAGTATCATCATCTAACCTTTCTCTTGTAAAAGTTTTAACAAAGTTCCAAGAGGTGGGAATGCTGCTGTGATTCCCTCCTGGTCATCATCTGAGTGAACAGCTGAAAAAAAAAAAAAGATTAAAAAGGACACTAGCAGATACCCTTATTCCTTCAACTAGTACAATATAAGTGAGAGGTCAATGCCTTTCTGTCTTTGCTATTAGGAAAAATTATTCCATGGCTTAATGTAAATTCCCATGGAACATGTGTCCATGGATAATTAAAAAAAGGCAAAATGAATAAGTATCCCTTAACAACTTTCCTACAGAATATTGGCATATGTAATGGTTATCAAAGGAGTATTTAGAGCGGTTATTTAGAGAGTATTTAGAGCAGTTATCAAAAGAGTATTTAGAATGGTTATCAAAAGAGAAGTAGAGCGTTGTCTATTGGTTACAGGGCGAGTTTTGTTTTATGGATAAGGGAAAGGGATTGTACCCTGTTGATCCTATAGAAGATTTTTGTCTAATGAGTAAATATCGAAGACACTTCTGGAAGAAGTGGTTGTTTTCTATCTTTGCCTAATTGTCCAGAGGACTTGTTCGTGGTATTTATTTAGAGTACTTACTGTAGTACTGTATCTAGGGTACTTGTTCAGAAATAAGGGATTGTTGTTGGCTGTTGGCATGTAGTTTTGTTTTTAGGTAAAACAAGTCTTAACTTACGCCTTGAGCTGACACTGGCCTGACTTGACTCATTCTCAATAGCAGTTTCTCTGTTTAAATAAAACGGATATTCCAAACAGCCTGAATAAAAAAAAACATGGAAGGAAATTTTAAAATCAATTGAACAAGAGCAGCATCGACGACGGTGTTGGTAGATACGAAGAGAACGACAACAACAATAATTAAATTAAATTGAACAATAGCAGAATCGACGACGGTGTTGGTAGATACGAAGAGAACGACAACAACAAAAACAACATTCATCATTAAGCCTTGCTGTTATCAAATGTCAAATGTGACAGAGAAAGGTAAAGCTTTATAAATACTTTAAAATACTTCAGATTAATCAACTTTATATGTATGTTAACAACAAGAATATCAATAATAATGTTTTATTTTTTAAGTATTCTTTGCATAGTCCATTATATATAATTAGTTTTTGAGTAAAGTAGTAAAAATAAATGGACAATTTAGTATTTTTAATCAAATGTTTGAATATTTCCATAATTTACCAAAGGACATATCTTTGTCATGACCAAAAAATTAAAACAATTAAATGGTTGAAAATGAATTGTTTGAAGGTTACATTTTTAACATACAATTCACAATTTAGTATTAGTTTGATTATTTCCCTAATTTACCAAAGGATCACCTTTGTCATGACCTATAACAATTCAATTTCAAATTTTAAATTGAATTGTTTAAAGGTTTAATTACGTGTTTAAAATACATTTAATTTGAATGAGAAAAACTTTCGCCAGTCAAATAACAGACAATTAAATAATATGATATCTGTATTGTATTAAAATATAATTCAGTAAATGATCAAATAATTTCATCTAGTTTCAATTTATGTAATATGATTGTTATTCTTTGTAATTAATTTATTATTTTTTTACAAAGAATAACAATCATATTACAATTCAGTAAGCTTGATTTCTTACTGTCAGGTTTGAGTGTTTCTTCAACATACTGCTGAGCTAGGTACCTCAGGGCAAATGGATGCTTCCAGTCCTCTATCATCTCCAAAGCGTCAGACTACAACAAAGCACAGGTTTATAGAGACCTATGTTAGATAACTGACTACTTCCATAATAATTTAACGAATGGCTAAGTAGTTATGATTGCTTCCATTGTAGGAGTATGGTTGTATTAAAACCAAATTCTGGATAACATTTGAGGAAGTGTGCAAAAATAGACAAAATTACGATACTCAGACTCGAATACGCAGCTTTGATTGTTCATTACTGTGCAACATCAATACCGAAATACCAGCCTATAACAATATCTTGCAGGTAAATATTGTTTTACGATAGAAAACAACCTGGTCGATGTAATACAAATTAGTGACAATCAATTAAAAAATAGGTCTTTATGCAAAAAACAGGAACAAAATTAACAATGCCATTATATTAAATGGTAACCTTTTGTTTCTTAGATATTAGATAACTAAATTAAACGAATACACAATGGATTGGGATTATTTTAATTTTATCGGTATCTTTACATTATTCTATTAGTTCTGCTAAAATTAACTAAACTAAACATTTGTACCAATAATTTTTCCAACTTTATTTTTAGTTATTATTATTATTATTATTATTATTTTTTAAGTGGCTACGTCTTAAAGCTATTGTTGAACTTACTATAGCCTCCTTCCATACAATGTATTTGTTTCAATTCTTTTGCATTCTTATTGTATATTGTACTATTTGTTTTGTATGGAAAATAAAAGTATATTTGATTTGATTTCTTCTCGGCTTTTATCCACTTGTAGGTTATTCTGTTAAGTTTTTTGTGTATTTTTCATACTGGGATGAATAAAATAAAATAAATAAATTAATAAATCAATGATGCACCTGTGGCAATTGGATTAAAATCTCATGTTTCCTTTCAGAATGTATTTCATCATCTGGAATTTCAGCAAAGAATTTACGTACAAATTCTGGGGTGAGTTGAAATACCCCTCGCTCGACGTACTGCAAGAATGATTGGTAACGAAGGCAACGATACCCGAGACAGGTGAAAAAAGTTTGGAAACCTAAAATACAGAAAAAAGTCGTATAATTAGCGAAGCTGTAGGTTAGTCATTACGATACATTTCTACAAATTTGATATGTTGGTCGTTCTTGGAAAATTTTTACAGATTGAAGGCCCAGAGTACCTCTAGATGGACAGAAATAGCTCTCTCAGACTCAAATTGGAATTTACTTTTCTTTAAAACCGAAAGATTGTAATACATATACATGTATTGAAATGCACGCAATTATTTCCCCATATTTTATAATTTCAACAAAATAGTGGGGGGGCGGGGGAAGTGTAATGTGGTCCCCAGCTCCACCTCTGAGATGCTGTTCTTTCCCAACCCAGAGTTTTTGGTTTGAAATCATGCTGAAACTAGAATTTTTCTTATGGCTTCAATAAGTCCCACTCCCAAAGTATCATTAATGAGTCATAAATTTGTTTGCTTGACACTAAACATGTCTGGCGGTAAATCTAAAGTACGATAAAATATATGCAACATTAACATCTTACAAGTTTAATGCAATTACTGTAATCAGAAACCATACTACAAATGATGTTATGGTGATTTTAATACATCATCGATCCATTTTAATTATTCATATAGTGTAATGCAATCAATGGCCACAAATTGAGGCTAACCTGAAGGAAATGGAAAACAAACACTCTCTGTTGCTAGGTAATACCTTTCCAGCAGATGGTACAACAGGTTATCTTTATCACTTGCTGGACTGTGTCTGCAATAACATTTAAAACTATTTGTCATTTTTAATATATATTTTTTTAAACTTTATTTCTGACAAATACAAATTAAGAATGATTATTACTGAATGCAATTGTAATATTGGTTATGATTTATATAATTATTGATTAACTTACTAAATAAATAACATCTACACTATTAGATTGGATTGGATTTATTCGGTGTAAACACCAAGGATAGCCCACAAAAATCTAGAAGAAGACTTATTTCCAGTGGGGTCCTTCTGGTGGTGATTGGGCAGTACACCGGAAGACAATCCCCTACTCTTTTCCGAAGAGTGTACTGCGTTCTTTAACGTGCACATGGGCCATAAATGCACGCGGGACCAACGGCCTAAACATCTCATCTGAAAGACGGTGTGGAAAATTAAGGAAAAACCAAAGCTTTATCAGAGATGAAAAGGTATTTAAAAAAAGCCCAGCAAATTGTAATGGAAGAGAACACAGCCAAATTTGCCTGCCTGCTGTGCTCCGACTGTCTAGTGGCGGTGTGTTCACATAATATATCAACAGTATTCATTTCTAAAAATAGTATCTTTATATAACTATCGCACTCTACGAAGAACTGTCGCGTGGAAAAACCGATAAGCAAACCAACAAATCGTGCTAGGGATATTTGAAAAATCAATCGGAGGGCAGCGGGCATTTTCCAATAGCTGTGCATAAAACGTATTGTTGTAAAATGAGCAC